CCAGTCCCCAGGCGGGCAGGTGGCAGCGGCGATTCCTTTGGGTACCTACGTGCCACTACGGCTGCGTGCAGCTACTGCCGAGCTGATTTTAGTGACCGCTCAGGCTATGTGGACCACACACTGCCGTCTCGGGAGATATCGGGTGGCAAAAACACATGAGATCACTTTTAGACATTGTATTTTTTAGTCTGCCCCATATCACTTCATTTGCCATCATTTCTCTACTGTATCTATTTAATCTTTAAAAGCCTTTTTTTTTTTTAAATCTTTTAAAAGCCATTTAGTGCTGTTATACACTGTACAAAATTACACATCTCATTTTGCTGGGTAAATAATCTGCCGTGCATACAGCTGGCAAGCCCCTCTCCTGCAGTTTCATCTTGTGGGTGCAAAGCAGTAAAAGCAGCCTGACCTGTAGTGAATCCAGGCGCTGGCACCACGTCTGCGAGAGGCACAGTCTAAAGATACCGTCATGCTCTGGAAAACTTTATTCATAGCTCTGAAACAAAGATATGTTTTTGTTACAACATAACCCAGAGTGAAGATGAGGACCTCAGAAGGATAAATATTATAATCCTAATTACTACACAATTTTGAAGCGACTGGAGAGATTAATGTTAGAGAAGCATCTGAGTAAGGAAAAACGCTGTGGTTTCTGACTACATTGCACTTCTGAATCTACTCTGCCTTCTTTTCCTTTTTACTGAATAAAACAATTTCATTATCCATACTTAAAAAACAAGTATATCAAACATTTAACCCAATCTACTGGAGTTTTCTGAGGTATTATGGGGTCTGCTTGTATCATGAACTTCTTGACTGGAAGTACATACCTGCAGAAGACCGCAGTCTCTGCTCGATGCCCATCAGACATTAGAATTATGGTATAATAAAAGAGGGATACCCATCACCTCTAAAATTATCTTGAACAAAAGAAACATTACAAGAAAACATGACAATTGAAAAAGACACATGCAACAAATAGCAGCACTCAGAAGGATTCCCACAAGCAGTACTTCTGCAATGGACCTGGATGCCTAACGTAAGGCACTTGCCTGCGTAGCTCCCACAGGCGACTTTCCTTACAAACTCACAATTCCAGCCCAAGAAAGAGCAAATCACAAACCAGTTCCTTGCGGAAAGCAGCCTCAAACAGTCCAAACAATCAGGCAGCAGGGCAGCAAGCTACGGAAAGTTCACTTTTCTGAATGTTGTACAAACCACAGGATCTTTTAAATTCACATACCATCAGTGATTTTTTTTTAACTTTATGGCAGATGACACTTCGATGTCATCACTACATCTCACAGAACGGTCGAGGTCAGAGGGGGCCTCTGGAGGTCATCATGTCCAACCCCCTGCTCAAGCAGGGCCACCTACAGCCCCTTGCCTTGGACCATGCCCAGACAACTTCTGAGCATCTCCAGGGGTGGAGATGTGAGTGATATTGTAAATGGAATTACCTGATCAGAATGATTTCAGTAAAATTCTTTACGCATTTAGTTTTCTGTGAGCCCTACGTTACAGTTCCGCTTGACAGAAGAACAGCGTCGCATCCACGAAGCCCAGCAGCGCGAGGCGTGGAACTCCGCTGCCTTCTGATCTCGCTAAAGCGAATCCCCTGTTAACAACACACGTCCACGCAAGAAGTGCAGCTCTGAGCAGAGCGTGCAAAGCAAACCTGATCAGTGCTTTCTTCGGCCCAGCATACAGCTAACGCTGCTGTAGGAAGAGGGAAATACCTCTTGGTAAGATAAGGAGCCATGCTTAACTAGAATATAGCCAGCAGCACTTCAATGGATATATTCTTGACTTATTTACCACCATACATATAATCCCAGTTTATCATTCGTTGGACTCGGCTAAACCACAAGGATATATCACACATACTCTTTAATCCACATGACGATGCTTCAGGTAACTCGTTAGTTGAACTAGCCTAGATAAAATTACATGTCCTCTTCCTGGCATCAGGTGGCCTCTTGGTTCTGCACATTACTTGAAATTAGCAAACACCCCATGTGAGAGCCACCGTGCAAAAGCCTTCAAGGTTACACATTACAAGGCCCATTCTTAACTCCATACTGGTGCCTCTGGTTCCCAGTCAGAGCCATACAACTTCTAACCCTTCTGCTTTTCTCTTTAAAAACGTACCTAGCAGAGAATGTAAGCGCTGCTTCTTATACCTGGGGCTACCGAGAGCAACTCAAGTGAGGGCAGAGACATACAAGCAGTTTAAGTTGACAGCTGCAACCGAGCACAGCGATTGCCTGCCCCAGGTATTTCTATAATCTCAAAGAGGCAAAGGCAGTAGCATGGGAGGGGAGACCACAGAAGAGGCACACAAGTTACCAACTGAATAATTATTTCAACAACTGTTACCATGTTAGCAACAGTTTTGACCTTTACTTCAAAATATCTGATGCTGTCAGAAGGGACAGATTGCAAGGCAAACTTTAAGACTAGGAAAGATCTCCCCCGAACAAAGGGCACGAGAGATACTGTGATGTGTTTGAACAGAGATAGTGGCTTCTTGATTAGAGAATAAGGACAATTTTCAAAGCTCAGCATAAACGAAATAAGTAACCAAGTGACAGCTCGAATGTAAAAGCCCGATTTTTGGTTTTTTTCCCCAGTTTGATTTCTGAAATGCAGAAATCCTTCTGCTCCTCATTCAAGGAACTTGGACTCCAGCAAACATGGTATTGCGTGTGATGATCCCTGCAAAAAAACCAAACAAACAAGCAAAGACAATTTTCAAAGCTCAGCATAAACGAAATAAGTAACCAAGTGACAGCTCGAATGTAAAAGCCCGATTTTTGGTTTTTTTCCCCAGTTTGATTTCTGAAATGCAGAAATCCTTCTGCTCCTCATTCAAGGAACTTGGACTCCAGCAAACATGGTATTGCGTGTGATGATCCCTGCAAAAAAACCAAACAAACAAGCAAAACACTCCAGCAAACATGGTATTGCGTGTGATGATCCCTGCAAAAAAAACAAACAAACAAGCAACACACACACACACACATTTTTTAGTATTTAAGTGTTTAGAATTGTGCTTCTTGTGAGCCACGCGCCAGTTCTGGGCTACCAGAACACACAACAAGTGCACCTTTTAGTGCACCTCCCACAAAGAGCAGCCGATACACAGCCACTGTACCAAACCACAGCCGAGGAAAACGAACGCAGGCCCGCCCGAGCCTAAACCTGGTTCTTGCGGCGAGGCGCGTATTGACGGCCGGAGAACGCAGGCAGCTGGTGCTGCCAGAGAGTGAAGGTTACCTGGGTCACTCTTCACTTTGAGCTCACCTGCTCCCAGGGGCCGCCTTCCACCAAAGGGCACAGCTGCCTTAACAGGGTTTTTTTCTTCTTTACGCAGCCCTAGCTCCAGTACAAAAAAAACCCCAAAGTGAAGTGGTTTTGAACCCTAGGTGCCTACCGGCAAACCGGAAGCCTGGCAACACCGCAGCCCGTCCCAACGCCCGCCGGCCCCGGGGCCTGACCCAAGGGGCACCAACCCCCTCTCCCCCCCCCAAACCCAG